GAGAACATACTCATTTAAAGTTGTGCAGTGTTCAGTTATGAGGTTGTTTGGCCACCAACTGTTAGTAGGTAACTACTGTGATGTAATTGGGTTCATTTAGCATTGTTTTGTTTAGTCGCATTTTTCAAGAACATAACTACAACATTAAGCGAGGAATAGCTGTATACACCATTCCCTCTAAACTGTGCAGTGTGAGCGGCTGCGCAGGTGCTGGCAGTGTGGCATGAGCATGCCTACGCGGCCACGCACACCACACAACTTATAGGGAACACTGGCTGTATACTGTTAGGTTTGTGTCAGAATATATACATCTGAAGCAAGTTAAGAAAAAATAATACAGGAAACATAACTTTCAAGCATATGGAGCAGTACAGTGCCCTGTATTTATATACACAGTAATTGCAAAAATGAAATTTTGATATCTGTTGCTGCATACTACTTGAAAGTTTCCACTACTGGGCGTTTCAACCTTCTACCAAGTAAAGCATATGCTGCCCTCTGAATTATATTGCTGTTTTATACCTAGTATCTTAACTCCGGTACTGTACTAAAATATATAATGTAATGTAATATAATACAATATAATATAATGTTAATTGTTAATATATGTTATTTTTTCCTGCACTCTAGAGATATTTTGATGATAAGAGAAACAGTTTTACAGTACTCTCCCATATATTTTCTAAATATTTAAGTTACATTATTGTCTAGTCTACCGTAAACTAAAATATAGGTAGCAAACCCGCCAGCTTTCCTTACATCAGCATTTTCAAATATAAATTAAACACTGTATGTAATACATCTTCATAATGAAGAACAAGGGAATTTTGACACTTACCCAGATCGTTGTGGTATGTTTTAATGTGGATACTCTGTACGTGATTGGAAATAATTGCATCCAGATGTTTAGCTTACAGATCATAGATAAATACCCAAGAAAGAGCTAGCCCACAAATTAGATAGGAATTTCTAAACTTGCAGTTCTGTTTATAGTCAATAATATGCTGAAAACGTAAACTTCTCTAAGAAAATAGTGTTTTTGGTACCATTCTGTTATATCTAGATAGTTACTATATGATAATATCTTAAAGAAAAAACAACTAGAATTATTAAGACAGGCTCAAAATCTAAAATATTGATGTATCATTTAATGCTATTAAAGAGATCAGCCTAGAAAGGCAGAGAGAACCACTTCACAGTTTATTCTTGCAATTTCATAAGAAAAATACCCTTCACACAACCAAAAAAGAATTCATCACTCTCTGGCATTCAGTTGATCTTTGTCTTTATATAAGAATATTAAAATAATTTTCTTGTGCACAGCTTGAGTTACACAAACTGTTCTGGCTCCCATTTATATTGGGGTTCTCTGACAGCTGCCCTAACTCACAAGTTCTCACACTGTAAGCTGGATATTTCCCCTGGGGCAATATATTATTATATATCAACATTATAAGCTAACAAGAGTTTTGGCTTCCAACGTTAGATGTGCTATCTCCTTTTCGGCCGGTCCATTGTTCAGCATTCCATTCCCCCTGCTTGAGATTGGGCTGGTCTCCCAGAAAACATTTTTCTCTGTCCCAGTGGGGGGAAGGAGTTTCTCTAATGCAAGAATGAATGAATGAAGGTGAGCCTCCAAAAAAAATTTAAATAAGAATTTTCCACTGAGTTGCATACCAGCATGCCAGGAGCTGATCTTCCAAGCCAGGCTCTGTTCTCTTACATTGTGTGAACTTGTGAAAACCACATCCCCACATGTGATTGGAGAAGAATGTGCTTCCAAGGACATAGGGCATTTCAGGGAAAGTTGGGGAAAGAAAACTGAAAAGAGTCATTCCTTCACGCCCCACAACCATATGGACTTGGCCATATAGACAACCTTCATGCATGTGTTTTGTCAAAGTAATGGGCAACAGAGCTGCAAAGGGAACCTCTTTATCTACCTGAGGTATGTGGGGAGCTTCAGAGGGAAGGAATGTGCTAGAAAGGAGAACGCCTACCTTAACCTCACCTCCAAGATGTGTAATTGTTTGGAAAGTTACATGTGCCTTTAAGGCTTTTTTCCATATTTAATAGCTACCTCCTATTTTAACATTTCATCATCGGCCAAATGAGGTTGCATGACATCAGCTCATTTCCTCAGGCTATAATATAATTTGCCTACGTGCTGTGTATCCACTTTATACATTGGAGCTGGAATCCAACATGTAAAAACATGAATATTTTGGCTATAAGCTATTTTTACTTACCGGAGCCTCACCTGGACACCATAAACATTTGGGCAATTAGCCTATTAAATCTTGATTACTTAGCAAACTAAGCATCTGTATGCTACAAAGAACAGTGTTATGGGCTGTCAAACTGTACACAGAGGAGAAAAACAAAAATGGTAAAGCTTAAAAAGATCTAGAACTAGACTGATCTAAATTTAACCTGGCCATGCTATTCTACTTGCATTATTTCAGTAAAAAAATATTTTAAATGAGTTAAATTATGGGCTCAACACTTCTGTAATACTACTGACCTTTTTTTTAAGACTATCAGTATGATACTATAGTTTTTCTTGTATATTTTTGTAGGATAAAAATTCTGTAGGGCTGGACCAGGAAAAGACAGCCATGGACCTAGCTGCTGAGCAGTTGCGTTTATGGCCAACACTCAATAAAGAAACCCAGCAGGAATTAGTTCAGAATGAGGAAAGTACAGTTTTCAGTCAAGCCATTCATTTTGCAAACCTTATGGTCTACCTGCTAGTACCACTGGACACAAGTAAAAACAAATTATTAAGAACATCAGCTACAGGGGACTGGGAGAGTGGAAGCAACAGCATTGTCACAAACAGGTACGTAAAGAAGTTCAGTGATAAGTAGTTGTCACTTGTTTCTTTTAATAAAAATATTATATCAATTACAAAAACTAAACACACTTGACAGCCATGAAAGTTTATATTTGCAATCTTTGTAACAATTTAAAGGCAGTGCATTTTGAAATCATTGTATTATAATGCCTGCTGATTTTGTATCTAACTTGATTTGTTTTCCTAAGCTCTAGACATTATTCCAATCACAGCAGAGCTTTTCTTGCGTGGTGAAGACATTGTGCCAGTACACAGCTACATGTGCATAGGGCAGGCTGTTAGGAGGAGGGAAAAAGAAATAGCAGCTTGCACTGCTGCCTGACCAGTTAGAGGAGCTCTTACTGGTCAGCAGCACCACTGAAAGAATTAGATGACTCTGCTAAGGAGTCATCCCCCAGGACCCCTGGGGTCTCCCAGAAAGCAAGCTGAAAATCCTCCCCCTACTTCCACCCATGTGCACATAATGCCAGGGATACTCTGCCTGTCTGGAGTGGAGCCAAGGTCTTCCAGAGAGGAGCAAGCTAGGTGGAGGAATCCCCCCCCCACTTCGCCCCATATGTGCAGGGAGCTGGAGACACCCTACCTGGCCATAGTGCAGGCTGGGTCTCCTGGGCAGCAACAAATGGGGGTGGAAGGGGAACCCCCTCTACTTTCTAACACAAGGGTATGGAGCTGGGGACAGCCTGCCCAGCCACAGCGCAGCCCAGGGTCTCCCAAGTGACAACAAGCATGGGCATTCCCCCCCACCGGTTACCGCCGCTCAGGAGACCCAGGCTGTGCTGTGGCCGGGCATGGTGTTCCTGGTTCCATGCCGTTGTGCAGGGAAGTTGGGGGAAGGATTCCTTTCCCCCCTCCATCTCCCCTACCCCATGCTTGCTGCTGCCCAGGAGTCCCAAGACTCAGCTGTGGCATGGCAGGGGTGTCCCTGCTCATCTGCTCAGTGCTCATGTGGTGGGTAGGGGAGTATTTCTCCTGCTGGGTTGGAGGAATGAATCTAGGGCTCAGAGCTGTGCTGGGGCAGAGGTTTCCTTCTTGTTCTTTTTCAGA